CATGGTGGTAATGGTGTAGTCGGTTGTAAAGTGCCTTGTGTAGTGTGTTGGCTATCAATCATTTGTCATCTGACCATAAACAGTTGTCCCGCACGTCAAAGTTGTTGACAAACTTCGCATAGTATCTGTTCATTGTGCGCCTTTCTGAGGCTGTAGCTGGGTCTTTTGTTTCGATTATTCTGTATTTTGCTTCAAGTTGAGGATTAGATAATTAGAACACGATGAAGTGGAGGTTGAAAATTTCGGTAAACTACGCGTTTTTTGGCACAGTTTTGCAATTTTGGGGAACTATTGACATGAGAATGTTCGAGGAGTCGATTGTGGGAAAATGTTTCGCCTACAAACGCTGAAGGAATTGCTCTTGGAATTGAGTCTTGCTCTTGGAATTGAGTCTTGCTCTTTGTACTGGTTGTCTTCGCTGCAAAAAGCTTTCAATTGTCCTTCTTCTTGTAATTCTTCCACTTCGTTATCATTACTGCTATCTATACTCAGGAGTGGCTCTAAAAACTTTTGTAGTTTTCTGAATGCTTTCTCCATGTTGATTGACTGATGATTTAAAATTTCATTCTGCCTATGTTTACAATAAGTAAAATATCGATTTTGTTGCGCGACCGTAGGCGGGATGCCTCTCGTGACCATCGACATGTGCAATTTGCCGTTCTCTGATTGGCTGGTTGATCGTTGTATGATGAGTAGCCCTCCATCCGCCGTTTAACTTTGCCAAGTTTGCTAACTACATTTTGATTGGTTAATTTCAGCTCGCTCAGTTTGGTTTCTGATCTATGTTTTATTATGGCGCCTGGATATTCTCCCATTTTTGAATCTGACAGCGCTTCGAACAGAAAAAAAACATACTATATTTGTGGCAATTAACATACTATCTTGGGCTGACACCGGTTTTGCTTCAGTATTCGGATTGCGGGAAGGACAGTCCGCCAGACCGATTCTTGCTCGCGGCACATGTTCGACTTCGAAATCGAACGGAATTATTCGGTCTAACCAACTTGTTAAACGACTGAACATCATTTTAATTTTTTATTCCGGTTTAACAGCGATACAAGTGATTCATGGTCGGTAATAACTTAGAGTTTTCTATCCAAGACAAAATACGGATATATTCAGCCCCCAGACCACTGCGAGCATTTCCATCTCAATTGTTGAGTACTTTTTTTCCGCAACGTTTGAGTAGCGGGATGCGAACGATATCGGTGCTAGCCCTCGGAACCAAGTTGTTCTAATACGGCACACAACCAATTATCGCTTGCGTCGCACACTATTCTGATATCCTTATAGACGTCAAAATGCCTAAGTTGCACTTCTATGGCCACTTGGCTTTTTAACTTTTCAAATGCAGCTTGGCACTCTGGTGTCCAAGTATATTCGTTTTTCCGGTTATAATTTATAGGTTTATCCATTTATATTCGCCTAAGAGCACTCTCGATTCTGCCAATGCAGGTAAGTACTTTTGCAAAGCTATAAAACGACCCCATCAATGGTTTGAACTGCGACAGTGTGCGGGGCGGTTTTAATGCTTCGATTGGCTCCATTTTCTGAATAAATGGCAATACTCCAGTGGACGTGATTTTGTGTGAAATTACATTTCGTTAATTTTAGCGCCATGTTTTCAAATTTTCTCAAAACTTTCTCAATAAATGCATGTGCCTGTGGGTATTTAGCTGGTATAGAATCCATTACCCGTTGAAACTCCGCCGGCATTGTTGTTAGAGCGTAAAATCTGGTCTCGAATCGTTATGTACCGGTCGATTTACCTCCAACTAAGAAAAAATTCACTGTAAGCTAGTTTCTTGTTTCAGCAGCAATTGCCCGTATGCATATGTTAGATCTATTGTTGAGAAAAATTTTTCGCCTGATTTCTTTTCATTTATCGTTTGCCCGACGGCGGCCAGATCTTTAATATTCGGCATTTGGTACTTGTTCTTGTGTACTTGTTTATGTACACGATTGCGAATTTTACCGAACCGTTATCACGATTGGCGATACAAAAAACTTGTCCGAACAGTCTTCTTTTTTTTCTTGTTGCCCTCGCTCCATCAGATTATCTATTTCGCCGTCAACTTTATCTTTCAACATTATCAGCACTTTTCTTCCTTTTTGTTGAGTAACTGTTAAATTTGTTCGTCCATCAGGTCGCGTCCTATGATTGATGGTCGGTTTCCGCCAATGACCTTGATGGATGCTGAAGTCTCCAATCCGTTGGACAGAAGTTCTAGCTTCATATTCCCAAGTAAGTTTTTTGGATTGTTACCGCAATCGCCAATTTTTTTTATCCTTCGGCGTTACTTCCTGCAACTGGATGCCTGTGGCGCCTAGCGTTTTTTGGAGCTCCCAAATAAGGAATTTTGAAATTGGTGGTCCATTATCCATCCACACAATTGCTTTGCATCCATTGATTTTGATTGGTAATTTTTCGCCCGCCATCTTAACTTCTGTAATTTTCTTCGATCGTATCGGCATAACAAGGTAGTCCGCTGAGCTGTCCGAGTCCCATGACCGGGTGCTCCTCAGGGGTATATTGACCCATCCCACTGAGCTCTCATGTGGGGATGTTTTTTCACCCATGACTTCGGACTCGAATTGCTCATGATTTTCGTGTTCTTGTATCATTCCCAGCGATGAGCTTCTTCTGTTACTTTTCTTCGCCCTACATGTTCGTTCAAATTGCCCCACTCGTTTTTCGCCGCACATCACTCATATGCGCTCTCGTGAAACCCGGCTTATCGCAAATGTAGCATCTTCGATTCCCCTTGTTCGTTCTCTCTCTGAATTGTCCTCGCCCTTGGATTTGACCACGTCCTCTCCCCGGCCAGTTCGAAGTTCGGAAATTACATATCGCCGCGAGCCTGCTTAATACTGAGTGGAATTGCCTCAGTGATTCTCTCCAATCCGTTTTTTTCCCGATAGCTGTTGGAAAACCTTGTACGTTTCGTTGCGTTCCTTTTTGAGCTCCCCTTCGATTGCGTCCAGCACCCTCGGTTAGAGCGTCGCCCCAAGATTTAAGTGTGGTTTCTTTTTATGCAGCTCATCTTGTCCTTTCTCTCCGAGGCACATGTTTAAGTTTAAAATCAGTATTTGATCGGATTCTAACCAATTTTTCGCATCCACATCTATCAGCGAGGCTGCTATTTTCGCGTTTGTCAAGCTACTAGCGCAATAAAAGTTCGAATGGTTGATCGAATGTTTCGCAACTAATCCTCAATGGAAACAGTTTACCCAGAATTCCATCAACATGGGCGGCTCTGCGTGTCTGAGCGGTCAAAAAAATGTAATCCTGAAGTGGGTTTTTCTCCCACTTTGTCCTGCTGTCTGTGCCATGTTAAAAACGTATTTTGGTACTTTGAACCAAATCCCCAAGTTGATCGAATGTTTCGCAGCTAATCCTCAATGGAAACAGTTTACCCAGAATTCCAACAACATGGGCGGCTCTGCGTGTCTGAGCGGTCAAAAAAATGTAATCCTGAAGTGGGTTTTTCTCCCACTTTGTCCTGCTGTCTGTGCCATGTTAAAAACGTATTTTGGTACTTTGAACCAAATCCCCAAGTAACAACCCACGGTGTCAGACACTCCAAACGCCAGTACCTATCAATGATGGCTACCATCGAACAGAACAGAAATTATTGACAGAAGAATAACATAAATTAAATAGACTCAAATGACCGATTTAGCACTATGACAATGGATATGGCCTAGCATGCCTCATTTCTCATTGCAGACAGTGGAGGTCAATTTATGTCATTTTTAGAAAAAGGACGTTTAAATAGTTTCAAACGTTTATAACGTCATTAATGTTTAAAATGTCAAAATTAAAAACTAAGCAAAAACGTTTTTTACTGAGACTCAATCATTAAGAGCACGCCTACAAATGAAAGTTTTGCCGCTTTTGCACTGTCCAAGTTGTTTCTTTTACCGTCTTCAACCATTCCCATGGTCGAGAAAACTCTTTCGAGGCCGGCCGAGGTGCGAACAAGTGCAAGTAATCTCAAGCACATATCGGAGGCTGGCTTGTTATGACGTCATTTATGACACGAGAAAATAACACGCAATTTCTGACAGGCGTTTTAAAGTGCTTAAGACATGTTTAAAACGTACTGTGTTATTAACGGACAAACACTGAATACAGATACTTATACCTCGAAGGAATTCAATTTTTTTGATAGTAGGCCCATAATACATCATCTCAAAAACAATTGCTGAAAAAAATGAAACCTCTGCTCTCCAGATCAGATTGGGTTGAGATTTCGTTGCCTTGCATCCAAATCGCACGAGTCGATAGAATCAACAAATGGGTACTTCAATGAAGGGGTAAAGGTTGGATAATTCAATAATCTGTTCCTTTTTGACATCAGTTTCCATTGTTAAAGAAAAAACTTTCCATTTTGAGCTTTCGAGTTTCCTGATTGTTCGTTCTCAAATTCAACCTATTCTGGTGAAATATCTCCTTATAAATCGCCTCTCCTTTCTTGAAGTTTTTAATTAGACCCACAACATTTTGTTTCTATGGTAACGCAATACAAAATTGGAAGGAAATCGAATATACAGACAATCAAACTTGATGTTTTCAGCGCCAAGCGCGCTGACTTCTGTGTCTGTCACACTCATTACCTGGAAATTTTTTTAGTCAATTTGGAATCTAATTTCGGCACCATTGTCCTCATAGAATTAGTTAGTCCCTACATAAATACCCTGTCATGAAAAATATTGCTAGTTTAGCCCACTGGAGACTCTTAATCAATGCTTTGACGTTGACATGGGATCGTGAAGTTGCTAGCGCCTTCATCTCTTAGTTGAACTGAAGTATCTATGCTTCGAGCTACGCCACGAGCAGTTCCAGTTGCTTTGTAAAAGATACACTGAATCTCAAAAACAAACTATTTTACACAAATCATGCTGGGTTTCAAAAGCACGACCTTTCGACTGAGATGCGGAGAGTTTAGCCATTCTTCTCAAAAATCACCACCGCACTCCAAGTGGTAATTATTATTTGCAAAATAATTGAATTCTGGTCATTGAAACATGTAGAGAATCTATGGACAAATTTCATGCCAGTGCATGTTTAGCATGAAAATTGTTTCACAAAGGTATAATACAATTCAAATGTTTACAATTTGTCAGATATTCTGCATGAAAAAATGAGAGATTTACTTAGTGCAAGCCGATTTTAAAATGCGCCGAGGAAATCTAGTTCAATTCAACAATCTGACGTAAAACTAGAATATGTGCACTTAATTCGCTATCCAGTTAACATTAAAAAACTGAACTTATTTATAATCAACGTTAAAATGAGTTCGCGGTGGAATGATTCAGCTTCCGATATTTTCCAAGAAAGGTTTTAAACGGCCGAAATATACTGAGGTGGCTTGCATTGTACAAGGGGCGGGATATCGTCTTGGCCGTGTAAATCGATTGCAGGGAAGCTGTCGGATATTGCCGAGATCTCTCGTTGGATGACTTCATAAGGTTGTTCGGACCCGGGATGAATCTGGTGCTCCCGAAGCACTGCTCGTTTGACGTCGGCGATATTGTTGCGGTGCCGACAAATCTGTACGATTGCAGTAAGCGGAATCGCGCCGACAGTGAAAATAACAATAGTCCACCCTAGAAACGCACTCCAAAGCGGGTACGTGTAGTTATGATAACTTAGAGGCTCTAGCTTAATCCAATACATAACGCCAATGGAGATACAGGTAAAAGGTGTGAAAAAATACCAACAGAATAGAAAATATTTGGGGATTCGAATCTTCATCATAGCTTCGAGGTCTTTGACGTAGCGTTTGCCTCCGTAGCAGTAGGCGATAGCAATCGCCTCACCTAGACCTACAAACAGTAAAACGAATCCACTAGCTGAATAGAAGTCCATAATTTGGAAGTAATACATTCCGCTGTTAGTCGCAAAAACGATTCCGATGACGAACCAAAGGGCACAGATAATTGTGATAAGGATTGATCTGGCGTGTTTGTGTCTGAAATATCTGTTGGGAAAAGCATCCATAAATTGAGAAACCAGACCTTCCACGCCTACGAATTGGCTGTCTAATCCGAGGAATAAAATCATAAGAAAGAAAGCACCAGTTAGTAATTTTGCACCGAAGGGCATCAGCGACAGTGCCTTGGGGTAAGCAATGAAAGTTAGCCCGGGACCCCCTTCGGCCACCTCGGAAATGGGTATATTTCGTTCATACGCCATGTAGCCCAGAACTGAGAAAATACAAACGCCGCCAAAAATACTGGTCAGACAGTTTATTACTGAAAATAAAATGGCATCTTTCAGACAATTGTGGGTGAATTTGTTGTAGCTTCCCAGGGTTGGCATAGTTCCAGTTCCTAGAGACATGGAAAACAGAATCTGGGTTCCAGCATCGAGCCAAACACCTCCCTCTGTAAGTTTGGAAAGATCTGGCTTTAGGTAGTAAACAATCCCGCTCATAGCTCCATTTAAGGTGATTCCACGAAGAAATAAAATCACTAGCATAACGTAGGGAAAAAGTCCAGTAAACCAAACAATTTTTCCAGTCCATTGAACCCCTCGAACTATGCAAATGTATACTATGAGCCAAGAAACTGCGAGAGAAATTACCATATGAGGCTGAACCGTCCCCCCAATTTCCATGGAATCCGAGAGCCGCAAGACATTATGCTCCCAGAAATATTCTGCCGGCTCCTGGTACGAGACATTACTGCTCGATTCTGATTGGTCGACGAGAGATTGGTAGTCTCGGCAGACAGTTCCATTCGGGTCAGCACATTTGGTCCATGGCAAGTCGCCCAGAGTAAAAGTAGAGTAGAGATAGTAAACAGTCCAAGCGATAACTACAATGTAATAGAGGCTCAGATTGCTAACTATAATCAGCGTAGCGACTCCGAGGCCTTTCGCTAAGGGAAACAGATTCCACGCTGACGTTCCACTCTTCGACATAAATTGGCCCAACGAGACCTCTAGGAATATCAGAGGAACCCCTGCTCCGAACAGAGTAATGAAGTAAGGTATCAGGAACACACCCCCTCCATTTTTGTAACACAGATAGGGGAAGCGCCACAGATTCCCGATTCCGACGCTGAAGCCAATTAATGTCATCAGGAAATCAAAACTGCCTTTCCAAGTTTCGCGACCTTGACGGTCGATGACTTTGGCGGAGTCTTCGTCCTCTTTTTTGCAGTCGACGCCATCTTTGCCGACCGTCATGTTGGCCAGCACAATCAATAATAAACAAAAATAAGACCAGATTTGATATGGTAATAAAATAAACAAAGAAAAAATATAGAAGGCCGCACCAGAATTAAATAAAAGCCAGTTAAGTCACGAAAAAACGTTATAGTCTAAACTTAAGTTCGTCACAGATTTTTTTCAAAACCAATCGTTGAAGAACTGAAGTTGAAAAACACACAATGAAAAATGATGAATTGAAAATGCTCTGACGGCCAATTTGAAAAGAACTTTTCCAGTTTTCCTCATTTTAGCATGAAATAACAAAGCAGCGAGAGATGACGTGAAATAACGGCTAAAATTCGTTCTTTGATTTACAAAGAGTTGCTTCACAGGATAGAAACAAATTAAATTTCTAGCACATGTAACATAACAAAAACGGAATATAAAACAAATTCGGTTCGCAGATTTTTGGCACAAAATTGAGAAAATACACAAACGCAGCGAAAAGCTAACTTGAAATGTTATGCAAAATATGCAATGCAGATATATAACTGTCGTGTTAATTCAAGCAAGAAGGAAGCCGCCTTTTCAATGAAAATGAAACTTACCCAAGCAGAAAAACGAATATCTAGGGTTGTTTTCTGTGCCTTGCAGCTTCGCAGCCCTTCTGACGTTTTCGTATTTACGTTTGTGCGGCTCAGTAAATATTCTACCTTGGTCCCGGTTCGGCTATGGCTATGGTGATAGATAATAAGAAACGTGAGGGAGGGAATTAAAACAAAAGCTATAAACTCGATGTTTGAATTTGTGAATTTGACTGAATTCAGTTAACAGTGCAACAACAAGAATTCAACTCAAAGTGTGCACTGAATTATGTAAGAAGCGATTCGAAAACTCAAGTTACGCGGATAGGCTGAACTGAACAATGGCTGCTTCGGCGGCGGCGGAATTTCCCCTTTTTTCTCTTACCTATACCAATAACCTAACGTAACTACGCTCTACGCTGCTGTCTGTTAATACTTCCGCTGCGTACGGTTCTCTTCTGTACTGGACTTTAGTCTTATACAACAAACCGACGAGACTTCATGCCGAAATTTACACTATTTTTTCATCTGAAAAATAGTATTCCTCAAAAATGTAGACTAGTTTAGTCCATAATGAGCGTTATTCATAACAATGCACTCTTAGGAATGGCATCCACAACTTACATCAGCCGGATTTTGAAATGAAAAAATTATACACATAAAAAGTGCATCAACGAGGTTTTCATCAATTAGAGGCTGAGATTTTATGCAAAGCCAAAAACTGGCTACGAAAGATCATGATTTTGAGAAATTTCTCAAACCAGTCAAATTAATCATATTTTGTGACTTTTTGAGGAAATATTTGGCTTGAAGTCCCTCATTTTATGATCGGCTTGAAGTCCGTAGGCTTGATGTCCGGCACCCAGTAGACTTAGTGTATGCAGCGTAGCGTGCAAACAACCGATTAAGCATTTCGTCGAAAACAGAACAAAAATGCAACTGCATCTGAAATGAGGGACATTACTTAATAAGGGCAAACATTCGAAACTGCGATAAATAATGCGAAAACTCGGATGCCAAAAGAGTTCGTCTACAACAGCTTCGTCTGGAATGTTTTTTTTTTGTGCTGGTATAGTGAATCTTAAATGCTTCGTTACTATTCTTCTGTTTTGGAAGTTAGAGCTATCGGGTCTTAGCTTTTTACCACCGGTTACCTCGGTTTATAGCAATTTTTCTGTTCTATCTAGCGTTTTCTAGGGGTGATGTGAAAAAGTAGACAACCTTTATTTCATACCGGTCAGAAATAGACAAATACTACATTGAGCAATCAGAAACGATAAAAAAGCAAACTCAGGATATAAATAATTAATAATTATGCATTTCCGAAATTTGCTTCTTGTTCTCGATTCTGATTGGTTAATATTGTAATTGTCTACTTAATGACGTGTCTACTTAATGATTTTCTTGTCTACTTTTTGTTACGTAACTCCCTTTCTTGCACATTGTGTGGTCCTATTTTTCGTGTACGTTAGACTGACGTATCGTATAGAATACAGCTTTTTTAGTAAACTCAATTTAAGTAAAATTTTCAGCAACCATGCGCTAATTTAATTTATGCACCACAAATCTGTTCGAATTTACGCTAAGTACTTTAACTCAAAACGTTACGTAATGGCCCGCCGAAAAAAGTATACGTTTTGAGTGGTAGGCGTAATGGCACGCAACCGTATGCTATAGGCCTCACTGAAAATGCAAAACTCAATGCAAAACTGGCGAGGGGGACTTTCAGTCGAAGGCACGTCAAGCCGAAATTAAAACTAAAGCGCAAGCTTTTAGTGACAGTTACAAATTTGGTTGTTCGTTATTTTAAATAGTCTAACATGTCCAATTTTTTTCTAAACAGCAATCCATAAGATACTGATAGCATGAAATAAGAAAGATGCATAACCTATCAAAATGACCAATTAACGAGTTTCGAGTTTTTATGTAATTTTTCGGTCTTAAAAACAAAATTTTGAAATTCGGCCTGAAATCCCATCAGCTATAGCCGCCTTGTTAGCACGTAAGCGACCACGGAAAATTCCACCGGTGTGACTAAAAGTAAGAAGAATAAACTGCTGTGTTACTCTGCTGTTACGTAACAAACTGTTACATAACGATTCCAGTACAGTTTACGCTAACCATAAATTCTAAAAGATAGACGGTATTAAGTGATTAGTCAGACGCCAAATAGGTGTGCAGATTGGATCTTGTAAAGCTTTCAAGCACATAAAACGACACCAACACAATCCGATTTCTGCGATCAAATTTTGTATTCTGATCTTGTATCATGCAAAGTCCTAAAGCTCGTCATGACTCAAATATGATGAACGAACGGTCGCGTCTCACAGAGCCGCAAACCCGGATAGCCGAAAAAAAACATTCGTTCACAGAATTAAGCTGCTTTTTCAAAAGGGACCAAGTTAACATCCTCCCATAAACACATTTAGGGGGGAGGATGTTAATTTGGTTCTAAGTTGTGAATTTTCAGCCAATCAGAATCGAGCATTTTACATGCAGCGCTTAACAAATTTAATTTAAATTAAGCGCTGGGGTGGAGGATTGGGGGGGAGGGGGGGGGGGGAGGATATTAACTTAATCCTTCAAAAGTGAGTTGATTTTTCGGCTATCGGGGGTCGAAAAAAATCTTTTCGGCTATCCGGGATGGGGCTCTGTGGGGCAAACAACGAATGAACGAACTGCTAAGCACTCATTTGGGCTCCAGAAGCAAACATCATAGAAGACAGACTGGCGAGGCGAGTAAGCAGACAGACTTACCAACTACGGGTGTATTCGGTTATATCCCCGCGAAAGCATGAAAAATCAACATGAAGTTTTAAAAAAAAACTTGGGGATCAAGTTAACACCCCCCTTCCCTGCATTAAATTTTTAAATTTGCTAAGTGCTGCATGTAAAATGCTCGATTCTGATTGGTTGAAAATTCTTAATTTAGAATCAAGTTAACATCCTTCCCAAACCTCCTTACTTTAATTGGTCCAAACTTGGATCTACTTATCAATCTATTCCCCCTTACCGGTGATTTCTGTTATACGACCCAAAGTTGATCCTTTTAGTTTTTAGAAATTGCTTTGGATCCTAATGCTTCAATCTGATTGGCTGAAATGAAATACTATGAAGGAAAGTCTGAAGTATTAATTGGGTGTTTTCAGTTATGGGACAAAATTATATGAAATTGAGTTTTCTTTTGTTTCTGGATTTTCTTTCACTGAAGGTTGGATTTCCAATGTATTCCTCATGTATTCTATGATAATAGTCCTCACATATTATATGATCACCAAAGAACAGCCCCCATGTAAAAAATTGATCTGCAATGGATTTTAAGTAATCAATGCAGTTGTCACGATGTAATATATGACTAAAGGTCATTATGTAACTAAAGGTCATTATGTAAAATAAATTAGTTGTCATTACCGTTCGACCTAATATGAGTTGCGCTCTCTGCATTCTTTCGACCTTTCCACTCCACATCCTAGCTCAGACAATGTGTTGAAGAGGAGAAATTTATGATCCTGAGAACAATTCGTCTCAAAGTAATTTGTTCCGGTCCAAACTTTAGGAACAGCTTATAGAAAGAATCCGTTTGGTTTGTTCCCAGTTCGCATTATTGCTTTTATATTTTGCTTTGATAACTTTTAACTTCTTCTGTTGGTAGCTTCTTCTTGATAGGGGTAGTTCCCAAGAGTTTTCAGCAAAGTTGAGTAATTGGCAGAAAGTACAGGGTCAGTCACGGACTTTTTTCTAACATATATGTTCGCTTCAAGAAATTGAAGCTTTTAATGCTTCGCAGAACCTTCGGTTACCATTATGAAGTCATCATGATAGACTTTATAGTAAAAGCCTAGGGTAACGCAACTCAAAAGATGCTTGTCACAGGTGAACAAAGTCAACTCCAGCAGGGCCATAAAATTAAACTTCCTTCAGTTCGCAGATAGGTTAATTTCAAAATGTGAACGCAACCATATCTATACCGACGGGGTTCAAAACGATACTGCGGACATTTGAACTACGAGTGCATGGCTTTTATGCAATTAGAAAATTCTGTTCCAATTGAAATTTTGTGAGCTTAATTAATATCGGCAGTTGAGATTTTGAGTCCTTTGACAGAGAGTGTACGGTCAGAGTAAAAAAATACAAGGAGTTGTTCATGAGGAACGGTGAAACAGAAACAGTGAGATCAGTGTTATCGTTTCTCAGATCAGATCCATTTGCTTGTTTTATTTTGCATCGCTTTCCAAGTAGATATTTTGAAAATCAACAAAATTGTTACGGTCAAGGATAATCAAAAATTTAAGCATTTTCTGATTAGGTTAAACGACTATTGCCATTTTTTTCGTCAAAAGCTGTTTGAAGAATCAACAAAGGATACTTTTAAGACAAATCCAGAAAGCTATTGCTAGCTGCAACGTGTAACAAATTAGCAATCTGCTTTATAATTAAAAATAAAACTTAGCTCGATACCTACTTGGGTCGCTTCTTCTTCGATTTTCTTTTCTTTTTTTTCCCGAACTTCTACTGACAATTCTGTTCATATTAATTTCGTTGGTTATTTATTCATCGTTCTTTAACACCAAGTTGTGTTTTTGCAGTTTTTGTAAGAGTTTTTCAATGCTTGATAGAAGACTTTTTCCTTGGCAACATCAATCACTTCAGGTGCTGCAGTCACCAAAAGATCTCTCTGCCCAACTTTTTTGCAGCCAAAAGAATAACCCATCTTGTAAACGGTATGGCAACACAACTAATACCAGCAGCCAGAGCAGCAAATCTACTGCCGCGTTGTCGGTAGTATCTGAGAAATCAGAAATTGAAGCTTTTTTTGCATAATGCTGGTCCATTTGTTTTTAATCAAAGCACTTGAATTTAAAAGTTAGCACAATTTACCCAGCTCCCACAGAGGGCAAAAAAGTTTGCGTTTGTGGAGGCATTTATGTTTTTTTTTGTACAGATGAATCCGATTTTGGAGTCTTAAGTAGTGAAGCAATGGTGCAGGCACTAACAATTTTGATGCGTATATTTGAGTATTGAGTCTATTGCATCTCCAACAATATGGTATTGAAAAATGTCAATGAAAACAAAAATTAGACTTGTCTCACTTAAAAAATCAAGCGCCGAATTACATTTGTTTATTTAGTTTTTCTCATTGGAAGCATCGAAGAAATGTATCATTTTGAAACCATTGTGATATTCATCGTTCTCGCCAAGTTTAGTGTTGTACCTAAGTTCTTTTAGTTGCGTTTATCCAAATGCTGAAACAATCAGTAACTTACTAAGGACTTGCATCACAATATATTCTGTTTTTGAGTTTTGTTCTTATCTCATTGATCATTTGTTCAATATAAATTCATTACACTGCTTTGATTGAAACTTACTCTTCAAATTATGGCTGAGAAATTTCACTTCGATCATCAGCACTGGATTTGGTGGCTTTTAC